GAAAGAAAGAAAGAAAGAAAGAAAGAAAGAAAGAAAGAAAGAAAGAAGGAAGGAGAAAGAAAGAAAGAAAGAAAGAAAGAAAGAAAGAAAGGAAGGAAGGAAGGAAGGAAGGAAGGAAGGAAGGAAGGAAGGAAGGAAGGAAGGAAGGAAGGAAGGAACAAGACATTGGGAGGATATGGGGATGGTTGGGGGTCTGTGAAGAGTTAGGGGAGAAGTGAGGGATGAATGTGATCAAAATGCATTGTATACATGGGTGAAACTCTCAAATAATTAGTAAAATATTATGCTTTTAAGAATATTAAGAGTGAGGGGGTGAGGCTCAGCCACAGTCTGAAAAAAAGCTGAGCTACACAGCAAGACCACTTGCCTCAAACATGAAAACAAAAACGAAACAACAAAAATGAAACCAGAAGGAACTTAGAAACATCTTTACTAGTTGAATAGGGCAACAAATACTGAATAATCAAGAGAAATGATAGAATCTCTCCTAGTTGAAATTTTCAGTAAAACTACAGTATCTCAGTAACATGGGAAAATATTACATCTGATGGCCTTTCTGGCCTTGGTAGGATGAGTATCCAAGAACAAATCACAAGGCTTAAAGGATAACATATAAAAGGTAGAATTTTAGGAAATTGGAATCATTTAAACAGCAGATACAACTCCCAAGTAAAATGGTTCCTCTCCCTTACCTCACATGGGTTTGAGTCGTGAAATTAAGATCAACTTGTATAATTTCATTCCTCACAAAGATAACCTGTCTTTTTTGTTTCAAGAGAAGATTCTACTGAATGTTATAAATAGTGACTATGGCACAAAGCCTCACTTCCATTCACTCCAAATAGCCAGCTAGGATTATGAAATGCAGTAAAGGATATAGGAAAAATAAAAGGGACAAGACTGTGAGGGTTTGGAGGCTAGTGACAGTCCTCCCTGAACACTGTCTGTTTCCTTGGGCCAGGACACCTGACAAAGATTGCAAAGTCTTTGGAGAGTTTTGAGTCCCCGCTGTGTTCCTGGTACTAAGGCAATCCCTGAAAAATACTTATCTCTGCTCATCCTGGAAGTAACTCTTGTTTTCCTTGGCAGGAGGGCAATGTGTACTGTGGTCTCAAGACTTGCCCCAAACTGACCTGTGCATTCCCAGTCTCTGTTCCAGATTCTTGCTGCCGAGTGTGCAGAGGTAAGTGTTCTCTATCCCAAGAATCGGAATACTGCCATCCTAAAGTAGTGGAATTTAGGAAAGAGCAAAATACCTGTTCCATGTCTGAGTCTTTGTTTACAGAAATGATCTCAAATTATATGCCAAATGGACTCATCCACCTCAAATGAGTATTTTCTTATTTGGCTTCTATTTTGGTTTTACAATGGTGTCATACTTTCTTTCTAGGCTCCTGGACTTGTACTTAACTTTGCTTTGTTGCCTCCTCTCAAATTACCAAATCCATCAGCACTCTTTTCTAGTTTTTCCCACTGGAAATATTAATATTTTCTTCTTCGGCTGCACATAATCAATGGATGTATGAAGCACCTCCTGTATGCTAAATTAAAACTAAGCTATGCCCAAACCTGTGTATATAATATATGCACATGAGACATTGCTAGACTTTTTATCATCTTTATGTGGATTACAAAATGGAACCCATACTTAGAATCCTCTATTGCCATTTTCAGAAAGTCCTTATGTATTTATACCTTCGTATGTGACACCTTTGAGCAAGACACAACCTACACAGCCATAACAAAGTTATATCATTTCCCTTCCAGAACTTATATTTCATCAGAGGAGGCAAAAGAATAAATAAGCAAGCAAATGTCTACATATAAACAATATAAATATTATTATGGTAATAAAATAACATTATTTTTAAAAATCAGAGGTTTAAGCTTGAGTTGTGAAAAAGGTACTGGATAGAGAGTCTTGAAATTCAAATCCGAAAGACCAAAAGGAGCCATCCATGCAAAGAGCCTGGAGAAGCAAATTCCAGACAGAGATGAAAAATAGTTCTAAGGCTCCAGGAAAGGGAGTGCTAGAGGCATTCCAAGAGTCTGAGGAGCAATGTGCCTGGAATAAGGTGACTGTGGTTGAAACTGGCAAGAGACAAGAAGAAGTTGAGGAAGAGCAGAAGTTAAAACATGCAAGGCTGTGGAGGCTATAGAATGGGAGTTTGGATTTCAATTTTTGTGCCCTGTGAAATCAGTTGAAATTTGTGAGCAAGAGCATTGCATGGTTCCATTGTAAAAGGGCTCAGTGACTCTTTTGTACAGATTATATTAAAGGGAGGCAATAATATAGGAGGAGAGCCTCGAAAGTTGGTAGAGCAACCTTTCCAGTGTGGAAGGATGGAGCTTGCTCTAGTACCACAGTACAGAGAATTTATTCTAAGTGGAGCCTAAGGGATCATAATGCTTCAGTTTTAGACACAGCCTTGCTATGTTCCAACTGCATGAAAACCTTCAACCTAACAGTCTCTACAATAAAGAAAACAGCTGTGGGGTTTAAGTGGGACAAGGCAAAAAAGGGGTGTAGGACAGTACCTAGCATACCATGAGGAATCAATAATGAAAAGTAAACAAATGTGGTATGTATCTACCACCTTGTTTATCAGCCATGGATGTACATAGGGATTGCCATGGTAGACTTAATCCCAGACCAGGAGAAAACTTTGTTTCTAAGGTGTAGCCAAAATTAAGAAGCACTGAATTAAAAGGAAATAATATGGGATTTTCCTGTGGCAGTCAGATAGATGAGCCCTATATATTATTTCCATCTTAATATTTCAAAAGGATGGCTTTAACTATGCTATATCTCTATTCAAACATCTTTGTCCTTACATATACCATACTTAGCAATGTTTCAGTCATAGTTCTAAGCATCATTCCTAGGTTCCCTTGACTTTATACATTTACCATTTCTGCTCGCTCTCCCTGTTTCCATCTCATGAGGACAGTGTTGATTGATGTCTGAACCACACCTCTACTGACCTTGGAGTAGGGCTCAAGAGTCAGTATTTAAACTGATCCCTCATTCTTTTTGCAGTAAAATGGTGATGTATGGACCAGCACTTTGATAAAACACTCCAGAGATCAGTGAGAACAGGTCTCAGTGATGGTTTGCTGTCTGCTTTGCACAATAAAAGTGAGCTTGCTGAAAGTCTGAAATTGAGATAAATGGATATAAATGTAATTAACTTTAGTATCTGATTTGTTGACCATCTAATTGTTCTCCTATTGGTGTATACTCATTTCTTTTAATATCCTACTTTCCCAGTCCTTGTAAGTCAATACGGATTCAATTACAGTCTAATTAGATTTCTGCTTCAATAAGGTCATGCATCATTTTCTACATTCCCTGTATTTTAAGGTGTGTGCATGCTTGTGTGTGTGTGTATGTGTGTGTCTGTATGTCTGTGTGTGCCTCAGTGTGTCTATGTGTGTATGTGTGTGTGTGTGTGGTACCACAGTGTTGTTATTACATTTGAGTCAGAATAATATAAATTGAAGGATCATGTCCTTTTGTCTTTTTTCCAGCTTAATTTTAATATACCCAATGTCCAAAAGTCTATTATGCACAGATATGCATGAGGCTGATAATATTCTGATCATTCTAATCCAGTCCTTAGGCCAAGATTATTTTGTTTGAAAATAGAGGTGTGAAAAATATAAACTGGAGAACACTTAATATGAGAAAAAAACATTGTCAGATGGAGTACATCCAAAAAGCTATATGCTGCAGAAAACAAGTTATCAAGACCAAAGGACATAAATTTGACATTGTAGGACCACCATCTACACTATTCCATTAAACAAGGCACTTAACCACCCAGAACCTGGGATTTCTCAACTGTAACAATGAAGGATGTGATATTCACCACCCACAGTGGTTGTAAAGATTAACTGTGATGCTATAAAGTGCTAGGATAAGGCCGCATAGAGAGTGATTGTTTAAGAAGTGGCAATTATCCTGAAGTTAAGTAGAACTGAGCCTTCTCTTGTCTGATAGCTCTGCCTTTTATTTATTTAATCTCCACAGACAGAGTTTTATTTCTAGCCCTTCTTGTGGGAACAGATCCTGGTACTGACTATTTTCAATTCTCTTGTCATGATTTAAAGTTTCCCTTTTAGTGAGTCCTCAGAAGCAGCAGATGAAAGTTCATTATTACTGATCAGGTATTGTCCCTTCATATGCTTGACAATTCATTAAATTCTTCAGTTGGCAGCTCCAGCCTAAATGCACCAATTTCTTTTATCTTTTTTTAATGAAAGCTAAACCCTACTTTTATAAAAAAAAAAAATTCTGTGCCTTTAATTTCTTTACATCTTTCAGTTGTATAAGATGTGCTTGAAATGCCTTTTGAGTTCCCATTTCTGAAGCACTAGTTTGTTGGTTTGTTTTTTTTTAAATGATGTTTGTACAAAGGTGTATCTTGTAGAAATGTATTACTCACACAGCAGGGAACCCAGACACTTCTTCCCTATGCTGACCACCCTAACTGCAGGCCAAACATGAAGGAAAAAAAAACAACCTTCTGAGTGCTGAACTTGCAAACCCTCATATAAAAGGCCCCATTGAAACAGCCTGTCTGCACTGTCACCAAACACTAATTCTCACCATTCTCCATGGGTCAGATGGCAATCCTAGACTCAGATTGAATCTCAGCCCCAGCCTCAGTTGTTTAGACATGTCTGTGAGGCTGGGACAGTCAGGAGAGTGTTGGCAGGGTGCGTGTCATTGCTGGCACTTCAGAAAACCTCATCTGGACTGAAAGCGTAGTACAAACAGCCACTAGAACTGTAAGGGAAACTTTATCAGAAGAAAAGATCTCTTCAGAGATTGTACTACTTCCATATATGGGGCAGGCAGACCTCAAACTAAACCCACACCCATAATTCCCCTCACCATTTATCATTTCGGCTTCCCGTCTCCTGCCTATGTTGCCAAGTGAAAGGAGAAGGCTGTGTACTTGGACTATGGACAAGGGAGAAGAATTTGGGGTAAGCTGCTAAATGTATTCAAAACCTATCATGTATTTTAAAGATCGTGTGGGTATGTAACACTTACTATGCACCACTTGAGCCATACGACAGTATTGGGAATTATTTTCATTCTTATTCTATAGCTACAAAGTGGAGACAGAGACCCTAAGTGATCTACCCCAGAGTAAGAGACCAAAAGGCAGAATCAAAAATTGAGCCCAGTCATTCTGATTCCAAAGTCCCAAATTTGTAATTGCCACACTAACTGTTGGGATACTTTTTTTTAATTTACTTTCATCAGCATATGCTAAATTCTTCTCTTTCCCAGGGAAAAAAAAAAAAGTCCTAAGAGCAAATTCCAAGCCTGTTTTTGTCCACCCTTTTATCTCCATCACTAAAGTAGGGCCAGGTACATAGTAGTTATGTAACAAATATCTCGTTAGTGAATGGAAGTAGATATCTACACCCAAAATTCTTTGAGTATGAAGAGAGAAAAGGGTAGGATGAGGTAGTCCCCTCCAGTTGTGATTAAGTAGATTGGAGCCTTACAGAGAAGGGTGGGCAGTACAACTTATCCTTAAGAAGATTTGTCTATATTACGCACCATATATGTTCTTTTTCCTCTTTTACTGTCTTGCACCAGGAAACATTCTTGTCACAGTACTGTAAATGTGTCCCAACAGTTAGTGAGGCAATTACTAATTTGAGACTATGGAGTCAGAATGACTGGATTCTTTTTAGTTTTGTTTCATTTGCCTCTTATGCCCATGGATTCCTGAACAAATAATGTAATTTACAGCATATACCATATGCCACCAAGGATAGGTATTATAAAAGTCAGTACCTGAAAGGAAGGGGGACCCTAGTTTTGAGAACAGAACTAGAATCTCTGAAGTAACTCCATTCCATCAACTCCTATGATTTCCAGTCTCTTTGTACACTCCAGGTTGAGGAAAGCAGAGAATCTAAAATAAGTAAGAAAACTGGTGACAGTCCTATAGTCTTGGAAATTTTAAATTTCTGATGCTACCATGAAACCAGCACTGCCATCCAGGCATTTTTCTGCTGTTGTTCTACATTGTATGTGGCCCTAACACTTTAATCTTTTGTTACTTGTTTGGATAGCTGATGAAAAGGGTTGGTTGTCCTTTTTGTTTTTGTTTTTAAGCTTGAAACTGAATGTCCTTATGCAAACTAAGCTTGCCT